CCATTTATCCGAGGTGGCGCAGTGGTTAGGGTGCAGTACTGCAAGCCACTTCAGCTGACTGCTATCTGCAGTTCAGCGGTTCTACTTCCCTCCTTCAGAGGTGGGTGAAATGAGGTCTCAGATTGTGGGGGACAATATGCTGACTCTGTAAGCCGATTAGAGAGGGCTGAGAGCCCTATGAAGCAGTATATAAGTCTAACTGCTATTGCTATCTGGCATAAAAATTATCAAGGGATGATTTGGAGAGCCAGTTTGGTATAGGGGTTAAGGTGCTTGCTGATCTAGAAACTTAGGAGACTGGGAATTCTAGTCCCGCTTTACAGATGAGAGCCCAGCTAGATGACTTTGGGAAGAGTCTCTTTTGCCTCAGCCCACTTTACAAGGGTGGTGTCAGGTTTCCGGAAAAATGCCCTAATTGATTCATGAGTATTGAGCCAAGTTTCAAAAGAAAACCAGTCATTTATTAGGAGCCCCATTTTGGCAAGACTTTTTGTGCAGTCAGATCTGAGCCTCATTTGAATTATAGCGGAACTTTACCCCTGTTCCTCCCCTCCCCTCAGTCTGTGGAGAAGGCAATGTCATAAATCACATTTCCCCAATGAGGTGCACCCCTCCCAAGCCTGCTGTAGTAATCCGAGAGTCAACTCTACCCAAAATGATGCATGGAATGCGCTCCCCTCCCCCTCCCCCTTTCCTCACCATGGCAACTTTAGGAGTTGACAAGCAGTTGTGGGGAAAAGAGGAGAAGTGAGGAGTATTAGTTACGTTTCCATCATCTTCATTTCATCACTTGTGGGGTGGAGTATGGGCAACTGAATGGAGCTAGCAGTGTTGAATGGCCAGATGCCTTTCTTGTCACCATGGCGGAGTTTTGTTCGGCAGATATATTCTCATAAACTCGAATAAATAAAAAAATAAACATTTCTTTTATTGGAGGCATTCCACAAGGTGAAAACGAACACCTCAAAGCACTAATCTCTTTGCAGGTGGCTCGTGATTTTAAAAAGATACCCTTTCTCACATGCGAGGAACACTTGCTCAGAACTCCTGTGATGATAACGTCTTGAAGCATTTTGTTATTAACGTACCTTCCTTTGACGGGCTCTGCTTGATTCTTCTGTTCTCCAGTTACGCTCGGCGGGTTTCACCGAAGACGACCGAAGCATTCGGTCCAGTTACAAGCTTCTTGGCATCGTGTCCTTCCTGCACCTGGGACTGACCCTTGGCATCTACGCGTACAACCTCCGACATCGGCAGAGGGCGGGAAAAGAATGGAAGCTACACCGTAACCTCTCCCATCAGATGTATAAAGTCTGGGTTTTCTTTTATTTAGAGGGAAAGAGGATTGAGGTCAACAAGTGGCCCCGCAACGGCATTTGAAAATTTAACTTTTCACTAAATTAAGAGTAAGGTGGTATTAAGAAAGTTAAAAATAACTAAAAAACACACCCCAGAAATATAGGTTTGTGGGTATTTGTTTAAGGCTTCCTTAAAAGCAAGAAGCAGAGTTGTGGTCCTCTTTTTATTTACACAACTATGAATTCCTTTCATTCACAGTCAGCCATGCTTAGCAAACAGTCTTTCCGAGGAATGTTTATCAACACGAACCTTATCTCGCTTGGACAGCTGCCAGATAACTAGTTTCCAAACGCAGGGCGAGGCAAAACTTGGCACAGAGTCTCTTATAGTCACAAACAGAATTTTCCACTCTTGAAAGGACCGAAGGAACGAATTGTTTCCTGCAAAAGCCCCCTCCCCATTCGCTCCTCTTTTGTTTCCTATGGGAGGGGCCAATCACCTCCAAGGTGTGGCTTTACTCTTAAGTCAACCCTACTGTCAGGCCTACAGTGGTTCCTTTA